GAGCGAGAGAGAGATTGAGTGAGTGAGAGAGAGAGAAGAAAGAAAAATATCGGGTAGAATTGTTGGGGATTCCGAGAATATAATATCAGTAAAAAAGAAGCAAAAAATATTATATATATTTCTAATGCACCTTTAATTACTGATTAAGACTTTCCAGACCATTTATATCATACTGTAATAACTTTAAAAATGTAAATCTTGTGATTTAAAAATGAAAATCTAATGTGTCATATTTGTTGCTCACAATGATACATACAATAGATGTTCAGTCAGTAGCAAAAATTAAGTGTAAAGTAATGTGCACTGTATAAAGTGAATGTTGTGTGAAGCAAGTGTGTCATACTAAATTATTACGTTAAATGTCATGTGTTCCGCTATTACTAAGAATGAAATACTGTTATGGAGGATCAGCTTGCATTGCGGTTTTCCAGTAGGATGAACTGATATGTAATATTTATTGTATGTGCAGAGCACAGTATAGCATAGCATATCCCTTACCGATGTGAATCTTATATATTCTTTTGTACCATCTGATGTTTTGAATAAATTAAAGATGAATATAGTTAGATCAGAATGTTTTAATTTCTTCAGTTACCAGTATTTTTTTTTCTGTTCACTCCTTATTAATACAGTGCTTTTCCATACACATACTTCTACATTTCTGGCATTATTTTAAAAACAATCTAAGAAGCTGGTTAATTTACTTGAAACATCTGTATAATGACTTTTTTTGTGTGCTTTCAGTACTTTCAGTATATACATTCAGTTTCAGTTATTTTCCTCTTAATTTTTTGTCTGATATATTATATGGTATAGGTTCATTATAAAAGGTTTTTTGTTATTTTGTTACAGAACTGTAATTTTCTGTATATTTTTGTAATATACTTTATTATTAATGTTTGCACTTTCTATGAACTTATTCTGTAAATGTTACAGAAGTGTAATTTTCTGTATATTTTTGTAATATACTTTATTTTGATTTTTTTTCTCTTACTATGCATTTATTCTATACCTCTGTATGAAGATAATTAATTTTGGCTTTCTTAACATAGAGTGGTGTCAGATAAAGGAAAATTGTATTTAATGGATCTAAATACAATCAGGCTACATTGTGGTTTGTGGTTTATGAGAACTGTTTGATAAACATTTATACAGTTATGATTTTAAAGTAATTATTGATTAATGTCTCTGTAGTGGCAAGGTATCTATTGTCAAGGTCAGACTGCTGAAAATAAGTGATTATTTAGAACTTGACTAGAGAATATAATGTTACATATTATATCCATATTATTTACACTCACAGCCCAAGAGAAGGGAGTTAGATTTACCTTTTTTTATGTAATGAACACCATTCCTATGTAAAAAATAAAAATCTCCAAACAACAAAGAAAGCATACTGTTAGACTAGGTAAATAATCTCCATGAAAAGATCTAGTGTTAAATTTTATGAATAATGTTTATGAATTTCTGGGTAGGGAAAAAGGGTAAAGGTAATTTTAAAGACACTTTAATATGGTTTTCATTTTCAGTTATCTGCATTTTTTTTTAATGTTCATGTTTATCATTTGTTACTGTAATGAATGTACCTTCTCATTCTTAACCCATTGCCACCGGGTAAAATTAACAAAAAATGGGGAAAATGCTGTGCCTATTTTCTATACTTTTTTGTTAAATGTCTGCCCAAGATGGCTCTGTTAGCGCTTGATTTGAAACACGTATTTTTCCCTAGTGCCATGAATATCGATGGTGTTATTTTTATCATAAACTTTGTAATTTTTATAATGTTTTTTAACATTAGTAACAGCAAAGTAAGATACCGTAAAATATTTTGTAAATCAAAGAAAAGGGTGAACGGGCGAGACAGGCGGTACTCGTAACTGGCTCATTGGTGATTTAGTACAAGTGTAGCCATCTATGTGTGAAAACAATCTAACAAGTAATCTCACAGTGGCCATGGCATGGCATGCCCGGCGGGAATGGGTTAATAATAATAATAATGATAATAATAATATCTTGTTGAATAAAAAACTTACGTGGAGAACTAAGAAGAGATGTCAAATTCAATAAAGAAAATAAATTTGGAACTTTCAGATTGAGATGTTTATTTGTTATTACAAATGAAATAAACAATCAGGTAGTTTCAAAGAGCAACATAATGATATATATTCTATTAAGTAATAGATGTGCAACCAAAGATGAAGGGGTGATTTCCCTAGAGGGAAAAGGAGGAAATAAGTTATATAATACATTATATCATAAGTTATATAATTTAATGAAGAGTGTGTAGCTAAATGTACATCACATGATAGGGAAGCTTAGTAGGAAATTGATATGATACATGTTACAGGGAATAAGATGGAAGCATACAATAATAACTCAAGCAACAGCAGTGAATAATAAACTCAGAAAAAACCCATTCCCCCATCAAATTGAATCCAGTTAATCTATTCTCCCCTGTTATTAGAGTGCACCTAGGAGGGTCAGCCAGAAAATCTAAGTG